AGTGCTGTCAAACGATTAATCGCGATTAATCGCATCCAAAATAAAAGTTTTTGTTTACATATTATATATGTGTATACTTGTATATTTATTATGTCTATATAAATACAAACACATGCATGTATATATTTAAGAAAAATATGTTGTTTGTATATTAAATATATTTATATATAATATAAAATATAAGAATATTAATATATAAATGTAAATATTTTCAAAATATATACTGTATGTGTGTGCATTTATATATACATGATTAATATACACACTACATATACATATATAATGTAAACAAAAACGGTTATTTTGGATGCGATTAATCGCGATTAATTGTTGCCCAGCACTATTTCCTTTAAGTTTAAAGCAGATTTTTGCTCCTAAGTGAAAGCTGTAGAAACCATACTGTTAATTGTGGTTTTAAGACACTCTTTATGGTCAGAACAAGACAAACACTTCATGTTTTTGAATTCTTTACACTTTTCCAGTCATTTTTCCTTAAAATAAATAGCTTAATATAAAAAACAATTTCTTATTTTCTGCATGTTGAGTGCTATTGTTTCAAATCATGAAACAGGTTTGCCTGACTTTGATGATGCGTACCTTCAGCACAGTTTGCAGTGCAGGCTGCAATATTAATATGACTTTTTTTTGTCTCTTAGAAATTATTTGACAGTAGCTTGAGTTAGTATTCAGATGTAAATTTGTTTGTCAAAAGCAGTAACATCTGTAAAAATAACTTCTTTTTTATATTGTAACATGACAAACACTTCACGCTTTTGAATTCTTTACATTTTTCCAGTCATTTTTCCTTAACAAAATAAATATTTTAATAGAAAAATGTATTTCTTAGTTTATGCATGTTCTAATGAGTAATGTTGTTTCAAATCATGAAACAGGGTTGTGTTGCCTGACTTTGATAGAGAGAGAGGCACACATAAAAATTCTATATACTGAATTTTATTTTATTATTTATTCTCTCTATATATATATATATATATATATATATCTCAGAGTGTCAATAATCAGTGCTGTTTTTGAGTATGCATGTGCATAATTGCATAAGAGAGAACCCACAATGAATCAAACATGAAATCAAGCATTCAAGCCAATCACAAAGCTTTCAAAACGGCCAAGTCTGGTGTTTGGTAAAGATAAACCAAGATCAAGAGGCAAGATCTTTAAATGATTTGGTAGGGAAGCAGAAAAAAAATCTCTTTCATTTGAGAGTAAAACCACACTGTCAGTTTCCCCAGCACTGTAAACACAGACACAGTGGCTCTAAAGTAAAGCAAAAATGTTTCTCTGTAATAAGAGATCAGAAGAAACGTTGGTCTCCTGTGATTTAAGCAAGCATTCAGTTACTCTAATTATAGCTGAGACATTTTTACCAGCACAGTCAACTTTCTTTTTTCACATTTGCACTGATGGGAAGTTGGGAACAATAACCAATGAATAACATTCAATTAGCAGAGAAGATTTAAAACTTTATCTGTCATTATAGATTTATTATAAAATACAAAGCATATCCTTGATTCAAAATCAGTTCAAAATCAGATGGCCGATTACATAAGTCTCATGGTGGATATGGTCGCGTGACTGTGAATGATATTAGGAGATTACAATCATACCTATATGAGTGTGTGCTCTTGCATGTTATTACGGTCAGCAATGTAAGGGGAAGTCAAGCGAAAAACTGATACTCTCAAGTTTAGATAGCAAGTAATGAAAGCAATCACACAGTACTTTAGGAGTAAATATTATGGCAATAAAGATAATGAACACTACAGACTTCATATTGCAGCAGTGTAGTGTAAATTCACAGCCAGTAATTGTATTTACATGGAGATGTGATGTAATTTCAGCGTTTACATGTGCGTAGTTGATTTTATAGCCACTGCCTATTGTTTTATGACAAATACAGGGTTGTGCGATTTTAATTTCCATCCGAATCTCATCTCTGCAGTAGAGCTGCTATTTGGCATCCCAATAGTGATTATTTTTATTAGTATATTCAGTTCACCAAACAAACCAAGCATGCAGCCCTTTGTAAAGTAGCAGTCATTCTGAGATCAGTGTACCAGCTCTGAATCAATATAATCTCATCCAACCGGACATGATAGGCACAATATTCATGAAGCTAATTGATTCAGTTTCATTGTTTTTCTGACGTTTTCATGTGCAATCAAACCTGCCATTATGCTAATTCAGCTAATTAAACATTTTGCCAAATCGCAACAGCGTTTCCCAACAGTAAATGGCATACAAGGGGAAAAATATGTAAACCCCAGCTTTTCAAATGATCACCAAAATACTAGCATGACTATTATCACCATTTGCATGGTCAATGTAATGATCAAAAGTATCTGAATAAAAATGTGGATGCCTTAGTGGTTGAGATCTGAGATAGGAATCAAAAGGTTGCAGGTTTGAACCAACAAAAAAGGTTAAAAGCTGTCACTGAGGTGGTACCCTAAGATAAAAAAAGGTAAATGTATATCTTTCTTTGTATCCTATTTACCCCTAAATGGTACATATTAGTACCTTAAAAGGCAACATAAAACAACAGAGGAAATTACTACAACTTGTAGTCATGCATGCAATGTGAAACAGGCCTAAAACATGATAGAGATTCAAGACATTCAGAACAAGGTTTCAGATAAGCCTGTGGAAATCACAGCACTGCAAATCAAGAAATCCCACACTTTATTTTGTAAACGAATACAAATCTAGTGTCAATTAATCCACCAGCATCAAATATTTGTAGAGATTCACAAGAAGTGTATTCTCAGTTTTAAAAAAAAAAGCTAAGGTCTGACTTCCCAATCTCTCTCTCTCTGATGAAAAGCAGAGAGCATGTGAACAGGGATTAGGTTGAGGAAGAAAGAGAGCAGGAAATACCACTCGTTCGGTTCTCTGCGAGACACCGGCTGCACAGAATGTGCTGGAAGAGCTCGTCTCTCAGCTGGAGTCTGCCAGGGAAAGCGAAGACTCCCATTGTTGATCAAGACCCCGTGGAAGGCTGGAACCCTCCAGAATTCTAATGGCACACGATGGAGTGGAATGTGAATGAGAATGGAATGCCACTGATGGAACGGAACCGAAATAAATATTTCACACAGTGCCTCTCTGCCAGGAACAAATATTGATGAGGAAACGCTGGAGCCATCAATAACCACTTTCCCTCAGTGGAGTCATTTAGCTTGACCCTGTGAATCTAAGCCATTTCATCCTCTGTAATAACAAGATTATAAACACTATAATCTTTTCCATGAATTTTAAGTGTGAGAATGATAAGAAGTATGATTTGTTTTGAAATTGTTTGTTGAATCTGCTGCTCTGGGCTGCACCATTACATGAAAAATAATCGCGGGCAGGTCTGACTTCTTATTCTTTCAAAGCTCTGACAGGAAAAACATCATTACCGCCAGCTTCAAGGCCAATAGATGTCTCGCTCCTCAAGTGACATTATACACCACACGAGAGCTCGGAATTGATTTCTCACTGTCAAACCACACAATACTCTCATTTAAAGCAGCCAGGCTGAATCAACTCAGAGTTGCTTTTCATAATGGCCCGATCTATTTATGTCAGGATTAATTATTTACATTTTGCATGAACCTGATGATTTCCTTCATTTACACGAAGTCAGCTGTGTTAGCTGGGTGAAGGAAACAGGGGTTGTGTAAACACTGCTAATAAATTAAGCTCAATTCCTCTGCCACATCGCATTTGCACCCATTTGCCTCTGATTGTGTTTGTTTACGTTCCATCTGGATGAAAAGGAGTAAGCGGGAAATGGAGGAAACTCTTTCACTGGCGAATCCTTAGAACTAATGAATTCTATTTCAGCGCTCTCTTCATGCACCCCCTTCCCCCTCCCTCTCTTTTTTCCAAAATCTAGCCTGCTGAAAGAGAAACCTCTTCTATCCCATTAAATTTATGATTAAAAAACTGGCAGCTGTGGAAATTCACTGTGACAATATTTCTGGTGTTACATTGGTGCCTGTATATTTTACAGCTTATAAAAAATGGCCAATATTCATATATAGTTGGTACACAGGGTCATGCAAACAAAGTCAAAACATCATCAGGGTAACACACGACGTTAAAATAATGCAATAAACATTAACAACCAGAAAATGTAATACAAAACACCCTAATGAACATTATTGATAACAAAAACGTAAATCAAACATATAATACAAAACAAAACTATTTAAATAAAATAACCATATGTATTGTGTCACACTACTTCCAAAAACCATACATTTTACAATATTTTTACAGTAAAATTACATATAATGCGATATTAAACCATTTTATTGTTTTTATACTGTTGCATTTTTAGTCTTTTTCTGTGGATATACAATCTGTTTCACACTGTAAGCGTAAACTGAAAGAATTTATTCTGCATGATAAATTGCAGATATTGCATAAATTCTATACTATTTTGTCTAAACAAATTAAATAACACGCTAAAATTATAAAGTATGAAAATTCATTTTATAATTATTTTGAGATTTACTAAAGATAATGTTAATGTTTTTAAACAATAATAGTAATTTATATGTACAAATAGGGGAAATTAGCATGAACAATAAAAATATTGTCCAAAACCTATTAATGAAAAAATAAAATAAAATCTAATATAGGCCGATAACTAATATGGTTTGGATATATCCCTGAATCATGTATCCCTACTTATGCCTCCCTTATTTTTCACTATGAGTGTCTGTCACTAGAGAAAAGGCCCGTACAGCTCATTTTCACCCACATGCAAACACACAAACAAGTTTTTCCACAAACGCTCACAAACCATTCTCAGATTATTCACACATTAAACAAACAAATACATGGGCAGAAACTGCACTCGCGCACACATGCTATCAGTGGAATAACCATGATTAGCTTTCAAAAGCAACTGATTAGAGTCATGACACTGAAAAGGCTTGGAGTAGGAAAAAAGCATTCTCCTAATCAACCATGAAAACCGAGTCTTTCAACCTCGGTTTAAGCTTATCTGATTTTTCAAACCCAGGCAAAATGGCTCACTTCATCTGAACAGAAGAATCTATAGGTGGGCTTGTGATGTCAGTTTGAGTTTCTGAGAAGCGGACATAACGACATTGATTGGCAGCAGACAACACACAGAAGCAGCCTGCACATTTAAACCCAGACAGGAGGCCTTTAAACAAGAGCATAACAGCACAAACAGTTCACTTGTTACACAGGAAGGTCAAAACCGAAACGGACTAAAAAGGAAAAGGAAAGAGGAGACCATAAATGGAAGGAGGGCCATAAATGAAACACAAAGATGTTTTGACAGTGCTAATCAGCACCAAGCCAAGAGTTCACATTTGTCACGAAGATAAACTCCTCAGACTGTTTTACACAGAAAACCTAGGAGTAGTGAGGAGCTCTCTTGGATAGAGACTGCTCTAAATCTTTCAACACATTTACTATGGCCAAGAGTCAAATTCAATCCTCTGCTGTCCAGCCATGGAAACAGTGTGACCTGGGATGTCTGTGTAGTGCATTTACCTTCCCGTTTGTAGAATTGTAATTACAGTGAGACTTCGAGAACTTCTGTAAAAACTTTAGCTTTTATTTACCAAAATAAATAAATCTTTGGTTGCCCCCTTTTTTTTTTTTTTTTTTTTTTTGGTTGCACTATTTATTTTATTATATTTATTTATTTATTTTGCTACAACATGGGATTAATCAATGCACGCTGATGAATAGTTTTTTCTTTTATCATAGTTTATAGTTATATGGTAAAAAAAAAAAGTGGTTAACATTCAACCCTCTCATTTTCATCAGTATTATTTGTGATTTGAATTTTGTGAAATGTTTTAAAGATGAATTCATTGTTATTCTTAACTGAAAAGCACAACAACACTAAAACAGTAGGCTACAATGACAAACTAAAGCTTACATAACGTTTATTAACAAAAACTAATAAGACGAGGCATGGAATACACCACATGCTGTATTATATATCTACTACTAAATTACAGAATATTTAGAAAACACTGAGGAATCAAATTAAAACCATTTTTAAGAAAGCCTCCACAGTGTAATGTGAGGTAAACAGCAAAGACAACAGGCTTTTCAAAATGCAAACAAAAAGGGGGTGGTGGGTTGAAATCACGGTCCAGCGGCACCTAGATCGGACCGAAAGAGCACATTAGCAACGGCAATTAAAGGGACAGGGGCAGGGGCTCGAATAAGCTACACGCACACCACTGGCGGTCAGTATAAACCAGGCTATACACCCAAAGTGCTCACACTGAAAGTGCATCTCTCAGTCTCTTCATGTGACCAGTGAAATCGGACTCCTGCTGCACTGTGCTCAGCTCTGCAGCGTGCACTGTATAGAGCACAGCAGACCATGCACTAACGCGCACATTCTCACAAAATTGTCGCATATGCAACCATTTTGGTCTCAGTCCAGAGCCTAGTTATGTCATTATTTATTCATTCCAAACCTGCATGACCTGTTCTTCTGTGGAACAGATATATTTAAGAATATTTAAACTGTTTTTGTTCATAAAATAAAAGTCAATGGGGTCCAAACCAACACTGGCCCTCACTGACTTTTACATTATCATACTGAAACACACAAATATTGGAAAACAGTATATTTTTAATTAGCGATGCACCAAAAATTCGGCAAACTAAAATATTTGGCTGAAAAAGAAAGAAAGAAAGATTAATTAATTAATTAATTTTCAGCTTTGACCAAAAGTAAAGATTTTACTAAAACATGACATCAATGAAAGTCAGTAGGGTTCAGTGCTGTTTTGGACAGCACACTAGCTTTCGGAAAAGAGTAAATAAATGGTGTTGGAAATATGCTTTAAAAAGCATAATTGTAAAGAAAATGTGAGGTACAGACCACTGTCATGCACACACATGCACAAACACACAAATGCAAGAACCTGAGCTTTGAACCAAAGCCAATGTACAGCCAGACTGAATCCTATATATAATTCATCACAGAACCGAGAGGTGGAACACACAGCAAGAAACAATGAAAAAGAGAGAGAGAGCGCACTTGAGACCAATCCTACTTTGCTATGCTGCTTCATTATTACCTGATACCTGTCAGGTCATCTGATGCTGCCGCAGCACTCAATGAGCATCAAAGCATGGCTCAAACCAGCCATCATTCAAACAACCTCAATATCACAGCAGTCATTACATGGGTTAAAGGAGACTTTACACACAGGAGTGACGTATGGCTGCTCAAAATACAAAATACAACAGCTACTAAGTGCAAATAGGATGGGGCTACTCTGGTTTCAAATGTCTTCCTTTACACCTAACTGACCAAAGAACAAAATATAATGGCTATATCTGAATGACCCAAACAAGGTTCTTCTTCCAAATCATGATTTGAGTAGTCAACTAATATAGATTTTTAAAGGCCAATATTGATGCTCACATCAAGTAAATCCAGATACAAAAAAACTAATATAATTCCATCTAATGAAAAATGAGAAAAACGTACTGATAACTGTCTACCAAAAAATTATATGTTAAGTTTACGCACAGTGCATGTCCTTTATGCCTTAAACATAACACGATGCAATTCAAAACATGGGTAAAACACCTGTGAATATCAATAATGGAAACGCAAATGGAAAAGTATTCAGGATCACAGGGAAAAGCAGAAATGAACTGGTAATAAATGGAAACAAATAAGTAATATTTAGCAAAATGCTACAAAAAAATAAATAAATAAAATAAACATAATAACATGGAACAGAAATTTTCACTGTTTTCACAGATAAAGTGCTATAACATTCAGCACTACTTTGCCAAGACTTGCTTTATAAAGATGCGCTGCATTCACTAGAAATTCTCTCCTGAGAAAATCACTGGGAAAAACAAACGACCAACATTTTGCTTCAATCCCAGACAGGCTGTATCTATCCATGTGGAGAAAGAAATAGGAATGTTCAAAAGAAGATGAAGACACGGGCACTCAAACACAAACACAAACAGCCCCTCAGAGCAACAGAGAGCATCTTTACACAGCATTGACATAGCAAGTTAAAAAGAGGAAACATGAGACACAGATACAGACAGAGAGCAGTAAACAGAGGAAAGGGAGGAAGGGGAGATAAAGGGAAGCGATATGCTGTATTTAATGAGGTGGAGGAAGGCAAAGAAAGGGAGCCTACGGACAAATACACCTTCATCTGTCTGCCTGCCCGTCTGGGTTTCAGAAAGTGCTCAGAGAATACTGAATGAGGAGAGGAGATGAGATGTAGCCATACTGGATAGGAATTTAAACAACCTGCTGTGATATAGAATATACAGCTGTGGAAATCTGAAGCAGCCTATTTCATCTCCTCCGTCCCTGCTGTGAGGAACCAGAAGTTGATTTATCTAATCTTATTATTATTGATTATGTAGCAGGGATAATTGTAACACTTGTGGTTTTTGCTCATTTATTCAGAAAATGCTTAGCCTAAAGCTTTAAAACTTTGCCTCAAACATTGTTGACAAACCAAATTAATCGAGTCAGATACAATTGCATTAGAAGCAAACGTAGGCGAATGTTACAATCAGTTAATGTCAGTAAATATAAAAAAACTCAATAATAAAAATGCTAAAAATACAAAACATCCTCAAACACTACATCTTACTGTAAGTTAAGTCTATGATACAAGTGACATCAGACTATATGTAAATACAACAAGGAAGATGAGCAAGTACTGAAATGGCATATTTTAACCATAGCGACATGTGAAATATAGCTTAAAATCTACTCTGAAAGGATCGACTGATAAAACTACAGCCTCTTGGCAAAAGTCATCATATTTTACCTGAGGTTGGCGTCAGAATGTGATAGATGCAAAACAGTTTACCAAGACACAGAAACTTTAAAAAATATATAATAATTTCTACTGAGTTGTCCTCACATTACATACAGTGTTATCGATTTAATCCGATTCACAAACAAATAACTCTTATGAACCCTTTTTTTCCCCCAATGAATCAGTAACAGTGCAACCAGTAGTCTAACTGACTCACAAACAAATGGTTCTTTTAGCCAATTCTTTTAAGGAAACATTCAAATGTGATGATTCCTTAAATAACCTGAATTTGTCAAGCTAGTAACCGATTCAACATGAAGATGACATATCTACTTGTGGGTGGAGTATATAAATATATTCAGAATGTATGAATGGAATAATTTGTGCATACAGCTACTGATTGGAAAGCTTGTGAATCAGACTTTAATCGGGAAAAGTGCATACCCAGCCCTATCATTAATCAACTCATTAAAGTTAAAGGGGCTAATGTTTTTAAATACATAAATAATAAATCAAGTTGAAATTTAATTGAACATGCTCCAAACACACAGTGAGAGGAGACAGAGAACACATGGTATGACTGAAGAGAGTCCACAGATTGCTGGGATTCACACTGAATTTGGGCAGGATTATCAAATTCTGTTTGTTGAGACCCATTTAAATTGAGAATTAAAAATGGGGTGAATATGTATGTGTGCATAAGGAAATGAGAGTGAGAGAGAAAGAGAAAGTGTGAGGGCCACAAAATTCTTCAGCACCCCCATTAAAAGCCTGTGTGTGATTATGGAAATGAACACTACTTATAGATCACAGTACGGTTCATTGATTTTCTGATGGTCGACTCCTCAATCCAAGACAAACTCCATCTGTGCCAAGACAAGCAGGCCGGCAGAACCCCTGCTTTCAGCTCGAAACCCAAAGCTACTGCACTCTAAAGTGGCAATAAAGCGCTGTTCTAATTCCATTCACGTTCAGAGATATTTGTGCCATACTGTATAATCCAATCACACCGCCTAATTACATTTGCATTTATTTTCTTGGCAGATGATTACCAAAGCAACCTACATATGTTATGTTGTGGAAAGTGCATATGTTATCATAATTACAGCAGGTAGCATATAAATGAAGACAAACAAAAAAATAGTACCAGAGGATGTAAGAATAAAACAATAAAGGTGTTACCTTCTGTGAACTACAACATATTGTTTTTTACACTTAGTCCAACCTGATATGTAAAGGCGAACTCCTACAACACTTTGTCTATAGCCTGTGTTCTAGGTCTATTTGAACATTACAGGAATAGCTCACCCAAAAATTTAAATTTGCTGAAAATGTACTCACCCTCAGGCATCCTAGATGTAGATGACTTTACTTCTTCATCACAACAGATTTGGAGAAATGTAGCATTACATCACTAGCTCACCAATGGATCCTCTGCAGTGAATGGGTGCCGTGCGAGTCCCAACATCTGTTAAAAACATCACAATAATCTACAAGTAATCAACACAACTCTAATCCATCCATTAACAGGTTGTGAAGCAAATAGCTGTGTGTTTGTCATAAACAAATTCATTCTTAAGACGTTTTTAACTTCAAACCATTGCTTCTGGCTAAAATATGAGTCCTCAATATTGCTTTCTCCAAATTAAACAAAATGTAGAGTGCAAACAATGGCAGAATTTTCCATTTTGGGGTGAACTAATAAGATACGACAGACACTGAGAGGAATCAATGCACATCAAATTCAGAAAAATATGTTTTTTAATAGCTCATCCACAACCTCAAATCCTGAATATGTTTACGTCCATTACAGCAAAGATTCAAATATGTCACCAACCTGTATGAAAGGGTCTTCAGCAGGGGGGTTGCAACGGTAAAGGATCCTCCAATTAATGTTTGCTCTAAACCCAATTGTAAAAAAATTTAAATGTATCAAACAAAAATAACCAGCAGCTAAAGCCCATCTAAATGTTTCACTGTGCCACTTGCATCAAATATAGACATATCAAGTAAAATCAAAATGTATATGACTTTGTACATCAGCAATGATTGTACTGTACTAAATGTATTTGCAATATTTGCATCATAAGTATGTAATATGAATATGGTACTATACGCACGTTACCAGAAGCCAGACCTAAAATGCACCCGTTTTATGGCTCCGTGGTTTATGACGAGCCATACAAATTAGTTTGGTCGTTCCTTTAACATTTATTTGTTAGTTTATATTAAGAGATCACTGCTATTCTGGATGCTGAGTAAAATATTTTGGAAAAACAAGCATAGCCCAAATACAAGTTACTAGAGCAGCGTTTAAAGTGCTGTTGCCCTCAACACAAATATTCACGGGTGAGCAGTACCACCCAGGGGCCAAGTGTGTAACTGCATTTTTGAATTTTTGATCTGAATCTGCCAGATGAGCAGATTCAGATCCAAAATTCATGTCAAATCCTTTTCTTAAACCCCACGGCTCATCTTTAATTCAAACCCCACCTGCTTGGTTTTTACGTTACACTCCTGTCTGAGGTGCTCCGACAAATCTTCAGCAATGCTGCTGCAGGTAATCTAAATCCTGAAATATTCAGGAGCAGAGTGTGAGTCGCGTGCTTCACCAGATTTTTTACTTCTGCTGACATGCGCAAGGTGAACATGAAATCTATTACGAGTCTTATGCGTTGTGGGAATTGAACAAGAAGGCAGAATGAAGAATGAATCTTGAATGAAGAATGAATATATGCGGTCGCCTTGATTTTAGGTCTGACATCATGGGCGTTTTATACACTTGATTTAGACTGTAGGCCTCATGAGGGTCTTAACAAGACAATAAAATGACTATGGTAAGAGCAGGTTTGCTGATCTCATTCTATTGTATTCTATTCTGTTCTATTCCCAGTAAGGATACCATTCTTACAATTGTTACTAAGTTACAGTCAAACCAAAATTAAAAACAAATATAGAAAATTATCTCCTTTTATTGTAATATTTTTAAGACAGTACTTTCTTTTTACATTCATTTGTTCATTCTTTCATTTATTCATTCATTTAACTTTTTTTCTGGGGAAAATTAACACATTGATTGCAGACAGTATTAACTTATATTTGCTCTCGTCTACGTTTTTTGTACATAATGATAGACAGATCTGATTGATTTGGTCTTAATGAGAAAAGGTGATTAATGTTTTGTGATTTAAACATGTAATTTCCAGCTCCAGTGTCTTCATGATGGTCTACAGCATCAGAATGCTTTCCACAGAGGACGGATAATTCACAGCGTGAGAAACAGGAATTAAAGGCCCTGAACAGCGATTGGATCCCACCCTTCATTACCTGGGCTCCGCTATACACTATAACTGCCCATTTGCTCTAATGAGGTTTGACAATTATGATGTTAATAAAGAATAATTTTGACAGGGTTTATTGATATGGTTGGGAATTAAATGATTAACTGTCTCATTAAAATTAAGAACCTTGAAGTGCAATTACTTGTGAAATGAATTGACCTTCACAAGTGAAAAGATGTATGTCCAGTAAAGATGGAGAAAAAGGGATGTCTAGAGTTTGCAATGTCTGCATTTAAACTGGTGTGTTTGTGTCTATATGTTTATAGGTAGTTATTATCATCTTTAAAATGTCATCTAAAATGTTCACCCCTTCTCCTCATGCATCATACAAGTAACCCAGTATAGAGTATAGAGACTAGTAATGTGAGGTTTTTGATCTAACATGGGATCCCCAAATAGGATTTGCTCAGAGCAGTTGTGCTCATTATCTCACCACCGTAAAAACTTCTAAAATATCGCTCCAAAAAAATGGTCACACAGCTTTCAGTTCCAACCTCGAACTAACTGGATGCTTAATTGTGTAGTACCATGCCTAAAACCAAGAGAGCATTTATATGACACTATAAATTGCATGATAGTAAGAACAGGAAAAAAAATGTGAATATAGCCAGGCGACAAACTCAGGCCATGACATGTCCTCGCAGTGAGAAACAGCTTCAGCTCAGACTTCATTTCCATCAGCACCCCATGTCCAGGCCCAGTCCGATTTTTCCACATTTTCACTGCTTATTTTGAGGGGAAATCTGCTTAATGGATTTAAATATGGTAGAATGGAGCTGAAAGTAGTGCTCTCATATTGGTAAGTGAAAGCACTATAAAATGATCCAAAACATTTCATAGAAGCATACACACAAGGATGTGTTCAACTTTGTAAACAACACGCATTCCAATGCTATGAAAATCTGTGGAGCTTTCTGGAAGTGCAGGCTCTGTGCGGGCCTGTTCATAACTCCATAACTACAACAACAAAAATATTTTTTCCTAATATGCAATATTTCCCGATCAAGGAGTAAATGGTATTGTTAGTAGTTTTTCTACATTTGTTGATGATTTCCTGATTGATGAGTTCATTCTGATCGTGTTTTAATTAAGTACCACTAAAAGAGGGTTATTGGGATTTTGATTGAATTTAGCTGTAACAGCTACTACAATGTGTGAATTGATGCCTGAACAAGCCCATTTGACACGATATGAGATCTCCATTAATGATGGCTGGGCACTTTTAATGGCTTTCCCAGACACCCCATTAAACCGGGCTTATATCTGCGGGTCATTCATTGTGTGATAAGTGCTCTTTTCTGCCGCCCGGAGTTTTTAACACGCTTTTAAAAAATACAGCTGAGAATAAATTTCTTTCTATTGATTTTTGGTCTCTCACCTTCTTTTTTTCTGCCTGTGGCTGTGTGATGCCCCTCATTTAATCTCACAGTCTTTATTATTCAATCGATCCGATGTTAGCTGGCCGTATAAGCTAAATCATCACTCAATAATCAGAGTTGTTTCCTCCATTATCAGTCAACCCCTCCCCCACAAAAGGTCCTCATTTGAGTCTTTTTTATATCAGATTCATAGTGTAGAGCGTCTATTAAAAAGAAAGTCCCTATCGAAGCAGATTTATCAATTGTAAATGCTGTCACACAGTAGTTAGGCTAGTCAAAAAGTCACTGTAAAAGGAAGAAATATAGATCGAACAGCACTATGTCCATAAATGATCCATAAAAAGTAAATACAGTATGTAAGGAGGGGTAAGTGTTTTAAATGTTCTTAAAAATTAACACGGTTTAATATCTATGGGATTTGCATTAGACGCCTTAATAAAGTCTTTTATGTTGTGACTCAGGCATTGTGTGTACTTGAACAGCAGACTGCTTGACATTTGAAAGACTCTGTGTATTAAAGGGATAGTACACCTTCAGTTGCTGGTTCCCATTGACTTCCATAGTATGAAAAAATTAAACAGCAACTGATGGTGAACTATCCTTTTAACTCTCCCCTTTTCATGCATCATGCAGCTGTCATTATTTGAAACGATGTAAAATCCAGGCAGACATTTGGCAGGAAATTGCTGCCTGCGCACAAGATGCTTGTCGACACAAATAGGAGCCTTTGAAATGAGAAACTAATGGGTTATGCTTATGTTCTTGAATTAAGTGGCAAACAGTCCAGACCGGTTTAACAGAGGCCTGTTCATCAGTGATGCTGTTATCAGACAAGCTCTAGGGTTTACAGATGAATCGTCCATGTTTTATCAGTCTACATGGGAATATATCAGACCACAACCTGTCAAGAGGCGAGGACATTAAGGGAAATGTCCCTCGTGATGTGCCCTCCAAAATAAGATTTCCCTGATAAAATGGAAAGTGCTTTTGTTTACATATCAGTAGATTTTATTTTCAGTCATGGCGATAAAAAACACTGCCCTGTGTCACCTCTTGAGGTTTCAGTATGATATTTAAGATTTAAAAGGATACAGGGCAGTTTGGAAGCTACATATTAAGGATATTTTTAACTTGTCCTGCACCATTTGTTCTACAGACATAAATGTGGCTTTTAGAGGAGAAGTGTCATAATTCTTTTCTTAACAATCTGACTTGTGTTTTATGGATGAACACCACTCACATTTTCATAAAAAAATGTAATATACACCAATAACCTTTTTTTCTGGAAAAACTTTGTAAACAGGGTTTTAAAAGTCATTTACGTATAATTAAATTGAAGTTAAATTATTATAATTTATAACAAATTAAAAATCTATTATATAAAATTACTTACAATTTATAAAATAATATATACATATACAATGGAAATCAAAATTAGAGAGCAACCTACAATATCCTCAATTTCAAGGTCACTGCTTAGTCCTATTTGCACTTATCCGAACAGGAGTCGAAGGGCAGTTTTTTAAAGCATATTTCATAAATTAATTGTATTCTGAAACACAGTATAAAAACTTCAATGGGATATTTGAAGAAGAACTCTGATTAAAATTGGAGAACACTTACAGATACCTTCAAGTTATTGGTGTTAATCTGGCACCTGGTGCTACTTTTCTTAATTATATGACAAACCCTATTTAACTGGCAGCATTCCTCTAATTTTCACTGAGATTGCACGATGGAGGGCCGCTCTAAGGCGACTGAAACCCTGCAACAGCAGGTTGTCCAAATGAAGGCCAAAGGGATGACCCTTTCAGCCACTGCATTCAGACCTGGGGAACACAAGTTCAAACTGTTGTGGAGACAGCCGTACTGTTTCAGACATACATACTTCATTTCCCAAAAGCCCGGTTAAAGTGATTTTACAGAAGCACACACATATTTATCCACTGCCACTAAATCCCTGCATCATCTCTAAATCCCCCCACGATGCAACAACGCAGAGACAAGCCGGTATTCAGTTCCAGCTCTGTACACACTGTTCAGGTCATTCCTCAATATGCCAAACAACGGCGTGTTCACAGACCATAGAGTGAGAGACATTACAGCAAACTAATGAGCCTCCGTTTATTCTGCCTGCCAAAGCCCAAGATAAAAATACACTCTTATACAGAAAAGAGTCTAATAGAGCGGCACTATCTGAGTCTGACGCCTCACCTGATATGCTGCCTCTGGAAATGATAGCTAAAGAAAAGAACATGAGAAAGATTTATTATAAAGAATAGACGGCAGCACGACTCAAATATTATGGCGAGATGTGATTTGCAAATAGTTGTAATTTACTATTTCATAGTTTCGCTTTTCATATTTCATAGTTTCGTGATTACAGTGGATAGCTGTACACGTGCATTTGTTGCTGCCATAAAGCTATCCGCCATTTTCATACCCGCTTAACAAACTTGGCATACTCCCAGAACAGACGTTTGGTGGGGAGCTTGGGAAAGAAACAGAAGCCATTTGCCATATTAAAAAACAGATTACAATCAGAATGAATTAAAAATGTTATTCCAGGGTAAAAAAAACCAAAACAAACATGTATTATGTGTTACTGTAGGCCTACGTAATATGCATTATTAATAATTGTAATTATTAAAAATGTATTTATAATAATTTTGTATGAATTGTAACTCATTCTGTAATTACTTATTTACATATGTTAGTTTGTTCTATTAAAGTTTGAATGCAATAAATAAAAAAATAAATAAAGTAGCTCAGTTACACAGATGCAGTTATTTAAGAAAATACCAGACTGCTGGACGGAACGATTGACCAATCAGAAACATACTTGCCTCTGATTGGTCAAGTGCAATGATGCCTTAATTGATATTTGACCATTATCCCAGGCAACCAGTTCCAAAGTAAAAATTGTAAGAGCTTCTTATAATTTTATACAGCTTCAATCATGCAAATGAAAAAAACTGACATTAATCGTTCTCTCTTTCTCTTCAGGGTCTGTTTCCAGAGTGTGTTTGATAGAGCTATTCAGACTGCATATCTTTCTCAGTCCGCCGTCAGTTTGAGCACTTGTCCAGGTTACGACAGCTGTCGGCTTGATCTACAGCCTCAGGCTAGTGCTGTAATGTAGACTAAATGGCCTGAGTCGCCCACGATAATGCAGCTTTTCTTGGAGGAAATTGGAAATCAATTCTTGTCATCACTAAAGATAATTCTTCCTTTTTCTCCTTTCTTGTTTATCAAACATCAGGCCTGAAGATGAGCAGTTACCGTGTGGATTTATGTGAAAGATAGCACTGGTGTGTGTGTTCCTTTTTATGTATAAACACATGAAGTGCATATCAACTGATCACATTATGATAAATCTAAGTTGTGCAATTAACATGAGATGCTCTTCATCAGAGTACAACACACATGCAGACAGATATTTGCATGCACATAGACACACGTGATGAATCACTTGCCATTTACTTTAATTTTCATCCTGATTTACAGCTGTGGAAACAGATGTCCTCAGGGCTGAATTTGACCCTAGCAAAATTAATTTATAAATATAGAATGACAAAAGGCAAACTCATTACTGTCCTCAGGGTATGTTCCTAATAATGAGTTTCTTAGCATAATTATGAAGCATTTGAAGCAGGGTCCAAAATTAACACACGCCAGATGAGAGTAAAAAGAGTCTGGTAACTTTATTAAGAATTCCAACATAGACAATGGTTTCAAATATACATTTATTTAACATTTAGTTGTGGTGCTCAAATTTGATTGGCCGATATTTAACATGCATCACTCAAGACCAGAGTTTATTTTAGTTATTTATTTTTTTAATTTAAAAATATTCTAAATACAGTTTCTTGGCTGGTATGAAATATTTACGGCAATACATTTTTTCTTAAAATCTCTAGTGCTGTTTATTTGGGGATCACACATACTGTTTATCAGTCAAAACAGACTGAAGACAAAAGTATAATATTTTTTAATGAAATTAATGTACTGTACTTTAAGTTCTATAACATATTTCTTTCATATTTTGTATTTTTAGGGGATTTCATTGTACTAAGCATTATTCCTCTAAAATATGCAATATTTATTTCTATTTAAAATAAAAATCTTAGAAAAAATAAAAAACATTAGTTGAGTCTACTCTGCATTTTTCTATGGCAGTCATTTTTGACAATGATCTGTATAAGTGTTTAAGATCATATTTCAAACAATGTTCACAATTTTGTTTGTGTTCACAAAGCAAATGCCACAAAAGTCACAAAGTTTCGCACCATTCTGATGAAGTAAAAAGTTTTAAAAATTAAAATGTAAACTTTTTCTGTCACTGATGACTGAACAGTGCCAGAAAGTTAAATCACTCACCAGTGTGACATAAAGTGAATTTTCGATACATTGCTTTACTACATATTACTTTGGTAAAGGCAAAGAACATTATATGTTGTTTTTGTTAATATCATTTTGATACAAACTGGATGATATGGATCTCACATTCAATTTTGGTGGCAAGATATGCTGGAACTTGCTCAGATGAGAAATCAAACAGAAAATCGGGGGTTAATGAGACAGAGCTATTTTGCTGCATATCAAAGTCAAACCTGCTGGAATAAGATGAAATAGAGCACATTTAAAAAAAAAAAAAATTTTAAACACTGCTTCCCATTTGTCAGGCAGATTGGCTGTAAGAGGAGCGTCTGGTTAGTGGCTAGGAAAGGAAGGATGTGGAAAGATCCCCTGGGAAAAGAGAAAACATCACTGCACGTCTCGGCTCTATCCCACAAGAGGCTTTGCTCAATATTAACACACAGACACACTCACACTTCCATCTCCAGCTCATCATTCTACCACACCTACTCATGCAATCCATTGTCGATCTGTCCCACAAGCCCTCTCCCTAAAATAGCACAGGTTGTCAGGTATGATAAAAAACAGCAGGCTCGGCGCGAGACGGCAAGAATAAAAAATTCCTGTCTGTTTGTTTGTAGCATTACAGGACTTGTATATTCACGTCCTCGTGGGACGGTATCGAAGGCAGGAACCATCCGTCATGCTAATTGGGACTGTTTATAAAGCTAGAACACGCTGACAATATGTCTTTCTCTCTCTTTTTGCTCTGAATTAAACACAAGACTGTGTAAATCTGAGCTGTCATGGCTGGTTAGCATGTTTGCTAGGTTTATTCTCGACTCTGCTGTAATCTGAAATGTTTTAGTGCTCACTCTAATCTGAACAAAAGCTTTGTGTAAGCTGTTAGAAGCAATAAACAGTGGACATATGTTAAAATACACTACTGTTCAAAAGTAATGGCTGCTGAAAATTCAGCTTTGCCGTCAAAAGAATAAATGACATTTTAAAATATATTAAAACAGAAAATGATTATTTTAAATTGCAATAATTTTTCACAATAATACTGTTTTTACTCATTTTTGATCAAATAAATGCAGGCTTGGTGAGCAAGACTTCTTTCAAATATATTTGAAATGATTAATTATACTAAAGTTCTACATTGACAAGTATAACCAAAACAATGCAAATTATTCACATCTATTTCTTTCACCCTCCTAAGCTCAGGTATATAAATATTTCAACTTTGACTGAGGACACAAACCTTTAACCAGCAGAGCCTGAGGAGGGTCGCAGAACCCCGGAGGTCTCACCCCGCAGCGTCTGGAATCTAAATCAAGCTGATTTTTAAACAGAGAGATCTTGTTAAACTTCATGAACAGGGCTCCAAGAAAAGTTCGAGCACCCGTGAGGCAGTTAATAAACAGTGAAAGCACACGGCAGTGTTTGCCAAAGGAAACAGACGGCTTAGAGGGGGAAAAAGTCAAACTACTCACACACACATTCCCTTTGCCAGCTTACTGGAGCCTGTGATGAAGGAAGGAGGAAAAGAGTGGCTTAAAAAGGTAAGGACTGATAGGATGTCCTTGGGTCACAAAAATAATTTGGATGAAAGTAATCTCGCCAGCCTGGAGTTTCATACATGAGTGGAATACAAATGGCTTATTGTGTTGGAATGCATAATGTCAGTAGAGGGAGAAGTGGGGAGGGAGGAAGAGAGGTCACCTGCAATCTCCTCTCAGATATTACCTTTGTAGCCTGGGCTGAGATAGGGTGATCACGACCCCAGTGCAGAAAACCAGATTGACTCCTGGTTAAACACACTACCTTGGGTGGAATGTACCTGTACTTTAAGAGAGAAACAGACACACATAGACACTTTTCATCCATGGCTCTGCAAATGAACTGTGAGAGACATGAGCTATCAGGGTTAGAGTCATGGGACCAGAGACGGGCTGCTTTTTTTGCACAGGACATATTGACGGCCCCTTGGAGAGCCACTAGTCTGATCTACAGCAGCAGTTGGGGTACTAAACACACACCACTGAGCTCACTTCCTCTTACAGTAAGAGGGAAGAGCCATTTCACATGACACAAAGAATAGAAAGCCCAAAATATGAAGGCAATAATGTCTTGAAAGCTGCTGCAAAATTACTACAAATTGCACTGTGAGGAATAGTTCATCCACAAATGAAAATTTGCTAAAAAAGAAAAAAGAAAAAAAGAAACACTCAGGCTATCCAAAATGTAGATGAGTTTTTTTCTTCGGAACAGATTTGAAGAAATTTAGCATTACATCACTTGCTCACCATTGGATCCTCTGCAGTGAATGGGTGCCGTCAGTAAGAAAGAGAGTTCAAAAAGTTGATAAACACAACACAATAATTCACAAGTAATCCACACGTCTACAGTCCATCAATTAACATATTGTGAAGTGAACAGCTGTGTGTTTGTAAGAAACAAATCCAGTATTTTAACAGTAAACGTTACTTCTGGCCAAAATACAAGACCATAAGCCATACTAACACTTCCTCCAATGAAAAAGTCCATCCCCTGTTGTCCTCTCACATCAAAATCCACCAGCATATTTGTTTAGAACTGTCTTGGACTGTTCTGCCTGTAAACAGTGCTTGATCTGTGCATATTTCTCTCCTGATTCAGACGAGACAACATTTTCACTGGAGAAAGCAATATACTCTAATAGAGGACTCCTATTTTAGCAGCAAGCAATGGTTGGAAGTTAAAAATGTCTTAATGATGAATTTGTTAACTATAAACACAGATTTTCACTTGACAACACATTAATGGATTGACTGGAGTTGTGTGGATTACTTGTGGATTGTTGTGATGTTTTTATCAGCTTTTTAGACTCTCATACTGACGGCACCCATTCACTGCAGAGGATCCAAGTGATGTAATGCTGAAATTCTCAACATCTGTTCCAAAGAAGAAACAAACTCATCTACATCTTGGATGACCAGAAGGTGAATACATTTCCAGCAAATTTCCATTTTTGGGTGAACTATTCCTTTAACTATAATGAAACTACAAACAAAAAGTTTGTTTACTTGTATATTTCAACATGTAACATGATTTATCAGCTATGCCATTATCATTACGTGAGAATGCTTATGAGAGAGAAACCTGAGATGATTTTCAGGCACTGCTGATAAAAAAAGTAGCACATAAATATTGAAAATTGTTTGTGTTATTTATTGAGTGTTAAATAAAAGCTGCCCTGATACCTCCGAAAGGTGATATTACACTTGTTCTGTGTTACTCTACATCTCACCAGGAGAGAAAATCATGCAAAGACAGGTGAAAATTACCTCTGGGGCCGCTCAAGAGCTCTCTCTCACACAAACACACACATTCATGTGTCAAAAGAGCAATTACACGTCGGCTTAGTTCATGAAGACAAATGTAGAGCATTTTTCAGAAGCCGATTAACAGACTTTTTATCACACTAAAACCTGGGAATTTCATTTGCAGGGTTTAAAGAGTGCACACCATTTTTCTTAAAAAGAAACGACCCCGACACCTACACTTAATAGGGGCATATACTAAAACTATTTCAAATGACACTGGTAAAAAGTTTAGTTGTTTTCCTAGTAGAAAAATCCATTTGGCATAAAAAAGGATCTTAAACTAATTATGTTTTTAGGTCTCATATAAATGCTGTTAAAAGGTGCCTTGCTCTTCTCTCTCATCTGATTGGTTGTCGTCTTCACCTCAGCATGGAATGATTTCAAGGTATCTCATTAGCGATTTAAATGAGCTGAGGAGCAGTTAGGTTTGGATCCTGTTTCATGTGTCTGTTTGCATCTGACACCACTTAAAGTGCTTACTGAAAGGGCAATTAACAACAGTTTTTCATTCTTGCCCTTTTCTTTGCCTCTCTAAGAGGCCTTAAACCTAATATTTTTGGTCCAGACAGTCTGTTCATGCACTTCATAAAGGATTAGAAGTGTCATAAAAAGCCCATTTCATGTGTTTATGTGCTTGCAGGGAAAAAATTGAATCGTCTCATCACTCTCAAAGCTACAATAAACAGGTGGTAATAAAGGTGACGGCAGCTGGAAGACGTTCCAATCATAACAAAGGCTTTCCAAATAAGTGTTCCCAATATCCACAGAGTTTCTCCTTCATCTCCCTCCATTTTCCCATCCACCTACACGCTCTCCATCAACTGAAAAACTACCGATTTCATATTTCATTATCCCCAGTGTGAAGCAGCCTTTTTAATGTAATTTGGAGTTAATGTTTGGAGTAACACTGGTTCTGCTCAAAATGAAATCATCCTTGCAGTAAAAATCTGATTAGCTTTCATGGTTCATTTTATAAAGCTGTGTCTGGCATTCCAAAATCCAGTCATGGAACCGATTAGCCATCATTGCATGCAACTGATCTTTACATCATTGTGCGGTGAACCTTTTACAGGAACATCTTTTCACCTTTTCACTTTCACCTTACAATATTTAAATAATTATGCTTATAATACAAATTATATTAATATTATATATGTTAAAAATAAATTCAGCTGAAAATACTTGTAAATTAAAATTTTATTTTCATAAAATAATATATTACTATTTA